GGAGGAATAGTGCCCCATCATTGGAGTCAGTGGGAGGAATAGTGCCCCATCATTGGAGTCAGTGGGAGGAATAGTGCCCCATCGTTGGTGTCAGTGGGAGGAATAGTGCCCCATTGTTGGTGTCAGTGGGAGGAATAGTGCCCCATTGTTGGTGTCAGTGGGAGGAATAGTGCCCCATTGTTGGTGTATGTCAGCGGGAGGAACAGTTCCCTACGGTCTGTGTCAGTGGCAGTAACTGCAGTCAGTGGGGAAAATAATGTCCCAAGGTCCAGATAAAAGCAAGCTAAGGGCTTGAAGACCACTGCCCTAGATGAAACATTGACATACGTTTCAGGAAAGTCCTGCTAAAACCAAGTCTTTGGAAGTCATGGCGAAAATGCCCCTTACATTGGTTGCCAGTAAGTGGAATGCCCCCTGTAACAGTGGTGGGTAGAATGGCATCTCTATAGAGAGCTAAAGAGATCATTGCAGTCATGCAACTGGCTTTGCCAAGTGGTGTTGCTCCTGGAACTATGTAGGCACTGTAACGGAACCGGACCCCCGACTGCCCTTGGGTACTTCCGTTAGGATACCGCTTCCCTATCTGAACACCGACAACAGACACCACCGCTGACCACACAAGACTAGACGGCACCAGTCTTGAAGGAAACCAGGAAATAGACTACTTTATTTTAACACAGATTCAAGATATATACATTCAAGGGAACAACCCCCCCCCTCCTCCATAACGACACAGGGCGGGACAATCTACATTTATTAACAAGAGATACACCAGCAATCAGTCCCATCAGGAGGGAGGGCTGCTGGAGACACCCCCCACCAAGCCAATACACAAACACATACATCCCATAATAGTTTGCTCCCAAGTCAGACACGCGATAGAATAATAGGATGCAACAACATGGCATTAAACAATCAACAACCCCCCACCCCAATATTAGGACAGATCACCCTGTACCCCTAACAGGCACAGGGTGACATACACATAATAGGGATATGGGGAGCTGAGACAGGAGTCTCCCCACCTCTCCCAAGTGTGCTGGGTTCCATAGGCCCCCCACCCAAAGTGACTCCCGTCACAGGCACCATCAGGTAGGAGGTCAGTCAGCCACATTTCAAGGAACTCTAGGGTGACACAGAACCCTGGTTGAGAATATCTGGTCTACAAGATGCATCACTGCCAAAATAAAAGATGGCCACACACATTACAATCGGATTATAGAATCTATATTGGAGCTGAAGCCCTGCTTAAGTAATCTATACAATTTGTATGTAATAAGGCAGGCCCACAGGGCTGAGCACCGCAGGCACCGTCCTGCCATGGGGGCAAGCAGCTCCTCCAGCCAAACAATTCCTCTGAACAAGCTTGGTCATAGCCGGGACATTACCTAATCTGATTTAACTTCTCGAACGCAAACGTGCGGCCTCCCGGCATCTGGGCCTAGACGCCAAGCGGCCGCACATTTGCGCTCTATTAAAAAAGGAAATATGTGCCGAGAGCACGCGCCCTGCACGCTCCCAGCACACATGTTCAGTACTCACGGAGAGGTCCCGATCTCCTCTTTCGATCGGGACTTTGCAGATCATGTGACCACCGTGATGGCGTGTCACGGCGGTCACATGACCCTAAACCCCGCCTTCCAGCTTCTGAAACCATTAAAGGGCCAGGAGGCGCTGGTGCGAAGGGGTTAAACATGTAAGAAACTGTAAGGGGGCCACACCAATGGCCATAGAGTCCACAATGTTCTTCTCTCAAAATGATCAACCAAACAAGATCAACGCGTTTCGGGGGTTGCAAGTTTCCCCCCTTCTTCAAGGCTAAAAACACAAACGTGATGTTGTAAAATCAGTAACAATACGTAGTCATGAAAACAAATCTTTAAAATCCATATATTATGTCATTATTTTTCTAAAAATTTGATACACATTGACCGCAATTAAAAGCAAGAGAACGCTATAAAAGAATGAATCTTATTCAGAACATTTCATTATACAATTGATAATAATTAAAGTGACACTAAGCTCTGATTCCTAAAATAAAATTCTATTCAAGTTTGTATTCCCTTTCCAAATTCTTTTTTTTTTTTTTTTGCTGCTGTGATTGAACTTCCTGTTAGAGGGTGGCTACATAAAAACAACCACTGTGAATTATACGTGAAGTTATCCTCAGATATGTCTCCAGACAGATAATGCTACTTGCAAATATAGAATCAAAGACCGCGCTGTACAAATAAAACACTCCCTGAGGAGATCTGCACGTCGCTTCCTGGTTCTGTAATGCGCGATGACGTCATGGGCATGGGCACTGCGCGTTTCATCATAGGAGGATGTCTTCTGGGGTTCGTGACATCATCACGCATTATGGAACAAGGAAAGATTTGCATAAATAAAAGTGATCCATATAGTGTAAAATCAATGGTATTCAACATTTACCGGTATTTAAAACAGATAACACTACTCACAAATATAAAAACTCAGACAGCGTTGTACAAATAATACACTCCCTGAGGAGATCTGCACATCGCTTCCTGGTTCTGTAATGCGTGATGACGTCATGGGCCCTGCACATTTCATCATAGTGGATGTCTTCTGGGGTTTGTGACATCATCACGCATTATGGAACAAGGACAGATTTGCATAAATAAACGTGATCCATATAATGTAAAATCAATGGTATTCAACATTTATTTAAAACAGAAAACACTACTCACAAATACAAACTCATAGACAGCGCTGTACAAATAAAAACACTACCCAAGGAGATCTGCAAATCCCTTCCTGGTTCTGTAATGCGTGATGACGTCATGGGTGTGGGCCCTGCGCGTTTCACCATAGAGGATGTCTTCTGGGCTTCGTGACATCATCACGAATTACGGAACCAGGAAAAGATTTGCATGAATAAAAAAATGATCCATGTAGTGTAAAATCAATGGTATTCAACGTATACAGTTGTGCTCAAAAGTTTGCATCCCCTGGCAGAAATTGTGAAATTTTGGCATTGATATCGAAAATATGACGGATTTGCCAAAAAATGCTCTTTTGTTGAAGGATGATGATCATGTGAAGCCATTTATTATCACAGAGTTGTTTGGCTCCTTTTTAAATCCTAATGATAACAGAAATCACCCAAATGGCCCGGATCAGAAGTCTCCGCCCCCTGAATCAGAAGTCTCCGCCCCCTGAATCAGAAGTCTCCGCCCCCTGAATCAGAAGTCTCCGCCCCCTGAATCAGAAGTCTCCGCCCCCTGAATCAGAAGTCTCCGCCCCCTGAATCAGAAGTCTCCGCCCCCTGAATCAGAAGTCTCCGCCCCCTGAATCAGAAGTCTCCGCCCCCTGAATCAGAAGTCTCCGCCCCCTGGAATGTTTGGCCTTGGTACAGACACACAAGGTGACACACACGGGTACAATGCCAATTAGAGGTTAATGTCCCACATCTGTGGCTTTTTAAATTGCAATTAGTGTCAGTGTATAAATAGTCAATGAGTTTGTTAGCTTTTAGATACTGAGCCATGGGGAGCAGAAAAGAACTGTCAAAAGTCCTGCGTAACACGGTAATGGAACTTTATAAAGATGGAAAAGGACATAAAAAGATGTCCAAAGCCTTGAATATGCCAATCAGTACTGTTAAATCTCCTATTAAGAAGTGGAAAGTTCGGGGATCTCTTGATACTAAGCCAAGGTCAGGGAGACCAAGAAAGATTGCAGCCATAACTGGCAGAAGAATTGTCCGGGATACAAAGGGAAACCCCCACAGGTCACCTCAGGAGAAATCCAGGCTGCTCTGGGAAAAGACGGTGCGGTTTGTTTTGAAGGAGCACAATATGATGACACTTGAACAAAAATGAGCTGCATGGTGGAGGTGCCAGAAAGAAGCCTTTACTGCACCAATGACACAAGAAGGCCCGGTTAGGCATGTCAAGGTGTTGTCAGGCATATTGTAACCGGGATTTTGTGGAATTGGTGCAGTAAAAGCTTCTTTCTAGCAACTCGACCAAACAGCTCATTTGTGTTCAAGTATCACCGTATTGTACTCCTTTAAAAGTAGCACCAGTTGCACAGCTTCCGACGTACAAAGGAGATGTCTTTTGGCGCACTGACTTATGAAGGTTGGTGCTCCCTGTGACTGTGCGTGCAGCCTTGTGCTGCCATCTATCTCGAAACTTTCTGATAACACCTCATATCTGGACTCCTCTCAGGCCTCCCCCCCAATCCTTTCCTGGGGTGCACGTGAGCAGGCTTACTGATTTGAATCAGCTTGGTCAAGGTGAGGTCATTGACAACAATAAATATTAATATGAAATGATCCAGCGCCTCTTCTGCGGGTCCCCTACATGAATCTCATCTGGTGGCTGGATTGGTGGACAGTTCTCTGTAGGCGCCTTGAATTGACCTATTGACATGGAGTGCCGCTACTACTAAGACCCGGCGTATGCTGATAATGATGGAACCTTAAGGCGGGGGGGGGCGGGGGAGGGGAATACCCGATATTAGGAAAGATTAGAGCAGTGTTGGTTCTGCCCGCAGCAGGCATGAATTATGCAGAAAGTGCTGAGATCATCATCGGGAACTGAGACTGCAGGCGTACTACGGGAGAGGGTCCGAGACTGCAGGCGTACTACGGGAGAGGGTCCGAGACTGCAGGCGTACTACGGGAGAGGGTCCGAGACTGCAGGCGTACTACGGGAGACGGTCCGAGACTGCAGGCGTACTACGGGAGAGGGTCCGAGACTGCAGGCGTACTACGGGAGAGGGTCCGAGACTGCAGGCGTACTACGGGAGAGGGTCCGAGACTGCAGGCGTACTACGAGAGAGGGTCCGAGACTGCAGGCGTACTACGGGAGAGGGTCCGAGACTGCAGGCGTACTACGGGAGAGGGTCCGAGACTGCAGGCGTACTACGGGAGAGGGTCCGAGACTGCAGGCGTACTACGGGAGAGGGTCCGAGACTGCAGGCGTACTACGGGAGAGGGTCCAAGACTGCAGGCGTACTACGGGAGAGGGTCCGAGACTGCAGGCGTACTACGGGAGAGGGTCCGAGACTGCAGGCGTACTACGGGAGAGGGTCCGAGACTGCAGGCGTACTACGGGAGAGGGTCCGAGACTGCAGGCGTACTACGGGAGAGGGTCCGAGACTGCAGGCGTACTACGGGAGAGGGTCCGAGACTGCAGACGTACTACGGGAGACGGTCCGAGACTGCAGACGTACTACGGGAGACGGTCCGAGACTGCAGACGTACTACGGGAGACGGTCCGAGACTGCAGACGTACTACGGGAGACGGTCCGAGACTGCAGGCGTACTACGGGAGACGGTCCGAGACTGCAGACGTACTACGGGAGACGAACCGAGACTGCAGACGTACTACGGGAGACGGTCCGAGACAGCAGGCGTACTACAGGAGACAGTCTTAGACTGAAGACGTACTACAGGAGATGATCAGAGACTGCAGAAATAGTACAGGAGATGGTCAGAGACTGCAGACATAGTACAGGAGACGATCAGAGACTGCAGACATACTACAGGAGACGGTCAGAGACTGCACACATGGTACAGGAGATGATCAGAGACTGCAGCCATAGTACAGGAGATGACCAGAGACTGCGGACACAGTACAGGAGATGACCAGAGACTGCAGCCATAGTACAGGAGATGACCAGAGACTGCAGCCATAGTACAGGAGATGACCAGAGACTGCGGATATAGTACAGGGGATGCCCAGAGACTGCAGACATAGTACAGAAGATGACCAGAGACTGCAGACACAGTACAGGAGATGACCAGAGACTGCGGATATAGTACAGGGGATGACCAGAGACTGCAGACATAGTACAGGAGATGACCAGAGACTGCAGACACAGTACAGGAGATGACCAGAGACTGCGGACACAGTACAGGGATGACCAGAGACTGCAGACACAGTACAGGGATGACCAGAGACTGCGGACAGCACAGGGATGACCAGAGACTGCGGACACAGTACAGGAGATGACCAGAGACTGCGGACACAGTACAGGAGATGACCAGAGACTGCGGACACAGTACAGGAGATGACCAGAGACTGCGGACACAGTACAGGAGATGACCAGAGACTGCGGACAGCACAGGGATGACCAGAGACTGCGGACACAGTACAGGAGATGACCAGAGACTGCGGACACAGTACAGGAGATGACCAGAGACTGCGGACACAGTACAGGAGATGACCAGAGACTGCGGACACAGTACAGGAGATGACCAGAGACTGCGGACACAGTACAGGAGATGACCAGAGACTGCGGACATAGTACAGGAGATGACCAGAGACTGCGGACACAGTACAGGGGATGAGCTCCCTACAGCCATTTACAAGTGACAAGAGGAGACAAAACGTATACAGACAGGAAGGGGGGGCAATATATACAGTCATGGGGGAGGGGGGATGTATAGAAAACGATGAGGGATGACACATATACAGTGATTAGGATTATATACAGCAATGGGGGGGTGGGGTGCATATGTATATACAATAATGGGGTAGAGGTATATACAGGTACGGGGGTGCAGGATAGGTACATACAGGTACGGGGGTGCAGGATAGGTACATACAGGTACGGGGGTGCAGGATAGGTACATACAGGAACGGGGGTGCAGGATAGGTACATACAGGAACGGGGGTGCAGGATAGGTATATACAGGTACGGGGGTGCAGGATAGGTATATACAGGTACGGGGGTGCAGGATAGGTATATACAGGTACGGGGTGCAGGATAGGTATATACAGGTTCGGGGGTGCAGGATAGGTATATACAGGTACGGGGGTGCAGGATAGGTATATACAGGTACGGGGGTGCAGGATAGGTATATACAGGTTCGGGGGTGCAGGATAGGTATATACAGGTACGGGGGTGCAGGATAGGTATATACAGGTTCGGGGGGTGCAGGATAGGTATATACAGGTACGGGGGTGCAGGATAGGTATATACAGGTACGGGGTGCAGGATAGGTATATACAGGTACGGGGGTGCAGGATAGGTATATACAGGTACGGGGGTGCAGGATAGGTATATACAGGTACGGGGGTGCAGGATAGGTATATACAGGTACGGGGGTGCAGGATAGGTATATACAGGTACGGGGTGCAGGATAGGTATATACAGATACGGGGGTGCAGGATAGGTATATACAGGTACGGGGTGCAGGATAGGTATATACAGGTACGGGGTGCAGGATAGGTATATACAGGTACGGGGGTGCAGGATAGGTATATACAGGTACGGGGGTGCAGGATAGGTATATACAGGTATGGGGGTGCAGGATAGGTATATATAGGTACGGGGGTGCAGGATAGGTATATACAGGTACGGGGGTGCAGGATAGGTATATACAGGTTCGGGGGTGCAGGATAGGTATATACAGGTACGGGGTGCAGGATAGGTATATACAGGTACGGGGTGCAGGATAGGTATATACAGGTACGGGGGTGCAGGATAGGTATATACAGGTACTAGGTGCAGGATAGGTATATACAGGTACGGGGTGCAGGATAGGTATATACAGGTACGGGGTGCAGGATAGGTATATACAGGTACGGGGGTGCAGGATAAGTATATACAGGTACGGGGTGCAGGATAGGTATACACACACACACAGTGATGGGGGGGGGGTAAGTACAGTGAGGGGTCCCGATGGCGCGGCGTTCAGCTGATTATTCAGGAAGTGCAATCCTCCAGACGGATCAATATTTGTGTCGGGAATCTCAGTGTGATTCCATTATCCGCTGGCAGACATCTGCACTTCTGAAGAAGTCATTTCCAGATTCAGCCCGGGGGAGGGGAGAGGATGAGAACTCCCCGGGGGTGAAGTATTGGAAATCTCCATGTAAAGGGCACCTGTCACTGGCTGCACATTCCTGGTGGGCTCTGCCTCTGCGGCCCCCTGGGAACCCCTGATCCCCGGGTACTCGCTCTGCCCTCCAACATTGCGATGCATTACGACCTGCAACCCCCTTCTGAGGATCTACTCCTTGCTTCCATCAGTGTTGCCGCTTCACCAAGAAATCAGAAACTCCCATCTCATGCGTCTGTATGGCGAGTCCCCACCCAATCACCTGACACACCCCTGAACTCTGTGTAGATAAGGTGGGGGATAGGGGGGTCCGACCACCGATGGGCACTATACAGCTGCCACTCCTGTCACTTGTCAGAAGTCAGAGACCCGTAGGGGTAGGTCAGAGAGCCGAGGCTACCTAGCCACTCCTCAGCTCCAGTCACATGACACAGCCAAGGGAGGACTTCATCTCGCTCTGAAATTCCTGATCTGGTGGGTGGATGTATTGGGGGGGCAATGTGTACTGGTGGAGGGAGAGGGATCTGAACTGGGGGGGGGGGGGGAAACTATACTGGAGAGGAGATCTAAACTAGGAAGGGGGGGAGATCTGAACGGGGGGTGTTTTGCTTGGAGAGAGCGGAAACTGTAACATGGGGGGGTGATCTGTACTGTGGGGAACTATACTGGAAGGAAGGGGATGGGAGCAATCTGAAAGGGGGGAGGGAGGGAATTCTATACTGGGGGAGATCTGTACTGGGGGAAGCAGGGAGATCTGTACTGCAGGGAACTATACTGGAAGGAAGGGGGCGGGAGCAATCTGAAAGGGGGAGGGAGGGAATTCTATACTGGGGGAGATCTGTACTGGGGGGAGATCTGTACTGGGGGAAGCAGGGAGATCTGTACTGCAGGGAACTATACTGGAAGGAAGGAGGCGGGAGCAATCTGAAAGGGGGAGGGAGGGAATTCTATAGTGGGGGAGATCTGTACTGGGGGGGGGGGGATCTGTACTGGTGGAAGCAGGGAGATCTGTACTGCAGGGAACTATACTGGAAGGAAGGGGGCAGGAGCAATCTGAAAGGGGGAGGGAGGGAATTATATAGTGGGTGAGATCTGTACTGGGGGGGGGATCTGTACTGGTGGAAGCAGAAAGATCTGTACTGCAGGGAACTATACTGGAGTTTAGGGGATCCAAACTGAGAAGGGGGATACAATCTGAATGGGGGGGGGGTGTTTGACTTGGGGTTGGGGGAATTCTATACTGGGGGAGATCTGTACTGGGGGGATGGAACATATGTAGTTGGGGAGGGGGGGGGGGAATCTGTACCGGTGCAACAAGGGGGACCTGTACTGTGGGGAACTAAACTTCAAAGGGGGAAGTTGATCTGAACTGGAGGAGGGGGGGGTCTATACTGGAGAGGGATTTTTTTTATTTATTGGGGGGAGAACTGTACTGGGGGCATCCATACTAGAGATGAGTACTGGGCACCTAAGGGTCAAACCCCCCCCCCCCCAAGGAAAAGAGTATCCATGGCCCTGCTCTGTGCTGCATAAACACCCTCCCCCTTCCATAAAACAACATGCTGCTCTTTAGCCCCCCTTTGTGCTCCAAGCCCACCAACAAATGACATGGTCACCTTCCTCTCCTTGTGCAGGGTGGTCTGATCTCCGCCCCTTCCTGTAGCTTCTGTAAGCATCCTGTAGTGAATGGGGCAACGTACAGCACAGTGATGAGGTCATTGCTACTTTTTACAAGGTAATATCTGGCTTTGCAAAAGGTGGATTTATATCCTTGGTGGCTATTGAGGAATATTTTTAACTGAAAGCGTTTGTTCTCCGAGTACAGCTTTCCGATGCGTTTTTTCTGCATTCCAGTTCATTTTTTCCCCTCTCTTTTTCTTCAATTTAAATATGGACATGTGCGTTCCGGTGCGTTTTATGTGCGTTTTACCGCATCCTAGTGCAGTTCTGTGCAGAAAAAAATGCCGCCCGTTCTACCTTTGTTTCTGTGTTCGGAAAGCACTGGAACTGCAAGCGCTGATGTGAACTATGACACTGACAACCAGATCACCGACTTTCTCTACGTTTTGGATGCAGAAAAAAAAGCAACTGAAACGCATGGAGTGCGGACCGGCCCTGAATGGCCGCCATGTTTTTGTCAATATTCCACTATAGATTGACGTCTCCGGTAAGTCGGGATCTATGAGCCGATGTGATTGGTTGGGGACATCTGACGGGATGACGTACGGATGACATCCCGCCATAAAATGTCACCAATTTGGTTTCATCGTTCTGGAAAACTGATTGATGGCAACCGATGTCCGTGTCCCAGCGGAGGGGGGGGTGACCACCCCATTACTGGCGCCCCCCACTGACCCCTCCAATTTATGACACAGGAGCCCAGAAATCAGTATAATTAGCCTCTATCCGGGAACGGGGAGCCAGGCAGGATCAGCAGGGCCCCCGGGGGCCACTCATGAGCTGGAAAAAAAAAAAAAAAACGACTTTTATCTTTGAGTACAAGAAGACGTTTGAAGTTGTATGGAATCCTGAAGAAGCCCAAAGAGGAGAGACGTTCTATTAACCCCCCGCAACGCCAATGTGTCCGCCCCATCCAATGATGGCGGCTACAACAATCACCACTATACAAAACTGCAGGGAATGCCGGCCATACATGGGTCAAATTCCGAGCCATTTTTCGTCCGAAAATTGAAAACGACATGCGCTCGGTAATCCAACGGCGCCATCAATGATTTAGAATATCAGCCAACCGAGTCATAAAGTTCCCCCCATATAACAGGCGAAACTTCTGTTCCTTCCAGGTCACGGCTCATGGCGCAGATTCTTTTCAGAAAACTGATCGTACAATTTGACCGTCATTGAGTCGAAAATCGGTCGTTTTTCTGAGGAAGAAAAGTACGACATCAGACGTGGAAATCATTACCACACACAGGTCCCCGGTGACACCATGGAACGGTCCTTCCTGTCATTGGTGACAACAGCAATTATAGTTTCAGAATGGATTAGGAAAAACGCAAAGCAGCCCTCCCCCGGAATCCCGCCCTCCCCCCCGGAATCCAGCCCTCTCCCCCCCGGAATCCAGCCCTCTCCCCCCCGGAATCCAGCCCTCTCCCCCCCGGAATCCAGCCCTCTCCCCCCCCGGAATCCAGCCCTCTCCCCCCCGGAATCCAGCCCTCTCCCTCCCGGAATCCAGCCCTCTCCCTCCCGGAATCCAGCGCTCTCCCCCCCGCAATCCAGCGCTCTCCCCCCAGCAATCCAGCGCTCTCCCCCCCGCAATCCAGCGCTCTCCCCCCCCCGCAATCCAGCGCTCTCCCAGAATCCGGCTGCATCTGCAGTACTCCTACGCATGGATCTGCTGAAGATGTGCGGAGGATTCGGAGAGATACAATGTATCAATCAATCATAGAATATTGGACACACGAAGACATTTTATTGATACATAATTACCAGAGTGCTGCTTAGCCACTTCAACCTCTTATGCCGGCCATACACGGGTTGAAAATTCAAATGATTTTTCATCCGAAAATGGGAAACGTCGTTCGTCGCTCGGTAATCTGATGGCGCTATCAATGATTTTGAATATCGGCCGACCGAGTCATGAAGTTCCCCCCATATAACAGGCGACACACTTCTGTTCCTTCCAGGTCACGGCTCACGGGTGTATTCTTTTCGAAAAAACAATCGTACAATTTGACCGTCATTGAGTCGAAAATTGGTCGTTTTTCACGAATTTTCCAACATGTCCGATCACCAAAAAGGGGGGAACTACGAAAATCGGCCGGGTGCCATTGACCCCACTAACAGAGAGAAAATCGCCTTAGGTCCAATTTTCGGATGAAAAATCGGTGGATTTTTGACCCATGTATGGCTGGCCTTATGCACAGAAAAATTGAATATTTAAATGACACTGCAGGACGCTTAGAGCGCGCTACAAAATTGGACGGCTCCAGGAAGTCTGTTCCCTATTACAGTCCCCTCCCCGCTTGCATGTCAAAGCCCTCCACTAGGGGGGAGTATCCAGTTATTGTCTGTGCTGGCCCAGCTCCTCTGCCTTCTTCTCTCACCATCAGGAGTGTCCAATTAAGATCTATGTATTGAAGGGGGTAGGGGGAGGAACTAAGCAACATTTTATTCAAACAAGTATGTGTAATTTCACCGCTGCAATAAGCATTTCTGGGGGGGGGGGGGGGGGGGGGGTTTGCACGTTTACAATATAAATTTTATGCTAAAGATTACATAAACCCCCAGACATGATATATTTTCTGAAAGCAAAACTGTGACCCCCAGCCTGAATGTGGCCCTTTGCTAGCCTTTACCTGGCCCTTGGGGTACTATTCCTCCCACTGACACCAATGATGGGGCACTATTCCTCCCACTGACACCAATGATGGGGCACTATTCCTCCCACTGACACCAATGATGGGGCACTATTCCTCCCACTGACACCAATGATGGGGCACTATTCCTCCCACTGACACCAATGATGGGGGCACTATTCCTCCCACTGACACCAATGATGGGGCACTATTCCTCCACTGATACCAATGATGGGGCACTATTCCTCCCACTGACACCAATGATGGGACACTATTCCTCCCACTGATACCAATGATGGGGCACTATTCCTCCCACTGACACCAATGATGGGGCACTATTCCTCCACTGATACCAATGATGGGGCACTATTCCTCCCACTGATACCAATGATGGGGCACTATTCCTCCCACTGACACCAATGATGGGGCACTATTCCTCCCCACTGACACCAATGATGGGGCACTATTCCTCCCCACTGACACCAATGATGGGGTGCTATTCCTCCCACTGACACCAATGATGGGGCACTATTCCTCCCACTGACACCAATGATGGGGCACTATTCCTCCCACTGACACCAATGATGGGACACTATTCCTCCACTGACACCAATGATGGGGCACTATTCCTCCCACTGACACCAATGATGGGGCACTACTCCTCCCACTGACACCAATGATGGGACACTATTCCTCCCACTGATACCAATGATGGGGCACTATTTCCAATGGTCACAACAGGTGTACAGACCCGGGAACTCAGCACAGGGATGGTGGGAACCCTTCATAATGGGCACAGCGGGTGTACAGATTCGGGGGAACTCAGCACAGGGATGGTGGGAACCCCTCATAATGGGCACAGCGGGTGTACAGACCCGGGAACTCAGCACAGGGATGGTGGGAACTCCTCATAATGGGCACAGCAGGTGTACAGACCCTGGAAACTCAGCACAGGGATGGTGGGAACCCCTCATAATGGGCACAGCTTGGAGGACCCCCGATCTGATCTCTATTGATAATAATAATCCTTCCCTGATGCATCAGCGATATAAATAAATGTTTCGGTGTTTCGTGTGAATGTTTTTTTGCTGCCATCACTACAGAGGGCTCCCCACCTGTTACACCAAATAAAACACAAACACATGGCGGATTACGGAGAACGGCGATGGTCGATCGGCGGCCTGTACACGGCACCACCGGTGCTACAAAACAGAACGTCTGGGGACACGGTGCTCCAGATTTCTTCCTCTAATTGCCTTTGGCTTCCCGGGGACTCGGCTGGATATGGGGACACGCAGTGCTCATAAAATATTGACAGAGGCACATTCCGTCTTATTAGGGATGTTTGTCTGAGAGACGCAGCAAATAAACTGCCAACAGGATATACCAGCCGGAGCCGCCAACGCCGAGCCGGAGCCGCCAACGCTGAGCCGGAGCCGCCAACCCAACCACAAGCTGCCTAATGTGCCTGGGCAATGGAAAGAACAGCGGTGAATTACATGGACTTGTTAACCAAAAAGGGGGGAACCCGGCCTTGCTCTACTGGGGCCGGGCCCTATCAGGTCAGCAGAGGGCCGGCGGCAGAAAATGGGCTAAATAATTTCCCCAGGTCCCATAAATTCAGCTGCATATTCAATTACCGTAATACACAAGGCATTATTTACACATTTGTGGGATCCGGCGCGACAATCCACCATGCCGTGGCTCCCGACAATTCCAGTTCCAACCTTTTCTACATCAATCCGCCGGGGCAGGCTAGAATTTAACTGGCAGTAGTCACAACACGCCTGGTCCCAAAATTGATGCATTAGTCCCCTCTCTGTTCCCCGGGTCCCTCTTGTTGAACTGATGGGGCCCGGGGAACTTTTATTCAACTGCTGGGAACCACAGCTGGCAAAACTGCACAATAAGGGCTTGTTTAGACTTGCATTTGGGAATGTGCGGGTTGAACCGCGTTTTTCGCATCCCCAACAGCCCCCCTTAAGCTGCAAAGGGATATTTACATCAAAAACAAGTGCAGAGCTCACCTGCTTATAAACCGTGATTAAGTGGGCAGCACAGTGGCTAAATGGTTAGCACTCCCGCCTGGCAGTACTCGGATCGTTGGTTTGAATCCCAACGACGGCACCAGCTGCCTGGAGTTTGCATGTTCTCCCTGTGCCTGCGTGGGTTTCCTCTGGGTACACCGGTTTCCTCCCACACTCCAAATACATGCTGGTAGATTAGTTGGATCCTGTCTAAATTCTCCCTAGTATGGGTATGTATGAATGTGAGTTAGGGACCTTAGATTATACGCTCCTCGGGGGCGGGGACTGCTGTGAATGTATAATATATATGTAAAGTGCTGCGTAAATTGACGGCGCTATATAAGTACCTGAAATAAATAAACACCAATAATTAAATAAATGATGTATAAATAATAAATAAAAGAAAGAAAACGCTACTCCTGGGTAATCAATAAAGTGAATATGACAATGAAAGAATAACTCATAATAATTGAGGATCAAACATGGGCAATGTATGGGGTGAAATAATCCTTCCAATTCATAAACAACAAAACGTATTGATTAGAAGCAGCAGTTGGCCTGCATGATCGCTATCAGATTGAATTATTGACCCTTTGGAGAGAGTCTCTTCCTTGTAGTTGGTGGTCGATCATGCAGGTCACACTGCGTTTCTGTTTGATGGCCATTTTGGCTGCCAACGATCACCATACTCGGAGGTTCTGGGTACCTTTAGACAAGTTACATGTGTAGGTGGAGAAGGAGGACTCAAATGGTTCCCAGGCTCTTACAACTCTTGATTGGCCCCTGAGAACAACCACCATCTGACCACCAACTACAAAGATACTCTCCTTAAAGGGTCAACAAATTCAATCTGATCTGATAGCGATCATGAAGGCCACAGGCATTTCTGTTTGATGGTCATTTTGGCTGCCAACGATCACCATACTCGGAGGTTTCTGGGTACCGTTAGACAAGTTAGAAGTGTAGGTGGAGAAGGAGGACTCAAATGGTTCCCCTTCCCCCAGGCTCTTACAGCTCTTGATTGGCCCCTGAGAACAACCACCATCCAACCACCAACTACAAGGTAGAGACTCTCTCCAAAGGGTCAACAATTCAATCTGATAGCGATCATGCAGGACACTGCGTTTCTGTTTGATGGCCATTTTGGCTGCCAACAATCACCATACTCAGAGGTTCTGGGTACCTTTAGACAAGTTAGATGTGTAGGTGGAGAAGGAGGACTCAAATGGTTCCCAGGCTCTTACAACTCTTGATTGGCCCCTGAGAACAACCACCATCTGACCACCAACTACAAAGACACTCTCCTTAAAGGGTCAACAATTCAATCTGATCTGATAGCGATCATGAAGGCCACAGGCATTTCTGTTTGATGGTCATTTTGGCTGCCAACGATCACCATACTCGGAGGTTCTGGGTACCGTTAGACAAGTTAGAAGTGTAGGTGGAGAAGGAGGACTCAAATGGTTCCCCTTCCCCCAGGCTCTTACAGCTCTTGATTGGCCCCTGAGAACAACCACCATCCAACCACCAACTACAAGGTAGAGACTCTCTCCAAAGGGTCAACAATTCAATCTGATAGCGATCATGCAGGATACTGCGTTTCTGTTTGATGGCCATTTTGGCTGCCAACAATCACCATACTCAGAGGTTCTGGGTACCTTTAGACAAGTTAGATGTGTAGGTGGAGAAGGAGGACTCAAATGGTTCTCCTTCCCCCAGGCTCTTACAGCTCTTGATTGGCCCCTGAGAACAACCACCAACCGACCCCACACCAACTACATGGAAGAAACTCTCTCCAAAGGGTCAACAATTCAATCTGATAGCGATCATGCAGGACACACTGGGGTTTATTTACTAAAGCTGGAGAGTCCAAAATCAGACTCCCTTCTGCATAGAAACCAATCAGCTTCTAACCTCAGCTTGTTCAATGAAGCTTTGGCAATGAAACCTGGAAGCTGATTGGTTTCTATGCAGAAGGGAGTCTGATTTTGGACTCTCCAGCTTTAGTAAATAAACCCCACTGTGTTTCTGTTTGATGGTCATTTTGGCTGCCAACGATCACCATACTCAGGAGGCACTGGGTACGTTAAATGAAGAAAGATTCAAACAAGCTCAATAGCTCAAGCGGGGAGGCTCCTGCACAGTAGTTTTCCCCAATGGGCACCCAACAGTAGCTCAAACCACTGAAATACAGAAAGGAATGCCACATCAAAACCAGTTGAAAGAGTCCAAGATCATTTTAATTGTTGGTAACAAAATCATATAAAACATCCAATGTGTTTCGGAGGCAACACCTCTTCCCCTTCATCAGGGTAACAAGAATAAACACAAAACATCCAAAATGATTATATGAACCAATACCCAACAGCCACCCACGTCTTAAAACCTGCAATAATTACACATAAACCGTGAAAATTCATCTGTAAAACATTTGGCAAAATATACAATTTGATACATAGTTGCCATTCACATGTGATTTCGCTGGGGGGCCGAACTTTGCCAACGCGATTTTAACCATTTTTTTCATTATTTTTGGAAGTTTTGGTATCTTTAGAGTGGTTGTCGGGAGCAGAAAGTTGTCATGTGTTGTTACACCTTTTGTAGTAAAATGATCTGATGACTGATTGGTTCTAGAGATGCACAACGTGAGTGTATTCTACACCATCCCATAATATCAACAGAATGGCTAAAGGTGTTTCAGGTGTTCAGACTGAATTAGGAATGGTAAAAGAATAAAAGATACAAAAAAAAGATGCCAGGCGGCCTGGGGTATGAAACCCCCCGGAGTCAGGGGCAGACTGAAAACTCATGGGGCCCCCGGGCAATAGGGGATCATGGGGCCCCCGGGCAATAGGGGATCATGGGGCCCCCGTGTCCTCGCCCACACCCAAAAAAGCCTATGAAAAAAACAATGAAAGGTACCAGGGGCATCTCATGGGGCCCCCTACTGACCCCGGGCCCTCGGGCAGTGCCCGAGTGCCCGAGTGGTCAGTCCGCCCCCCCCCCCGGGGTGCATTGTATTACTTTTATATATCGATTATCAGGGGTTAGCCATGTTGCAGGAGTAGGCAGGGGCAATTGGCCATGTCGCCACTAGGTGGCTCTGTACCAGTACAGTGTCTGGTACAGAAGGTAGTGTAACCAGGTGTTAGGCCCCATTAAGGTAGAGCCCTCCCACAGTGATGTCAGAGGTGAGTCAGCGCCCACATATAAGCTAGGTGGGGAGGGGCCACAGAGGGACTTGGGGCATGGTAGATAAAATACCTGTACATGTGAGCATGTAACCAATACACGCAGGTCCGGGACAGGGCAGGAGGGTGGGTGGAATGGATCGGAATACAGGAGGAGCCCGCAGGTCCGGGACAGGGCAGGAGGGTGGGTGGAGTGGATCGGAATACAGGAGGAGCCCGCAGGTCCGGGACAGGGCAGGAGGGGTGGGTGGGTGGAGTGGATCGGAATACAGGAGGAGCCCGCAGGTCCAAGACAGGGCAGGAGGGTGGGTGGAGTGGATCGGAAATACAGGAGGAGCCCGCAGGTCCGGGACAGGGCAGGAGGTGTGGGTGGAGTAGATCGGAATACAGGAGGAGCCCGCAGGTCCAAGACAGGGCAGGAGGGTGGGTGGAGTGGATCGGAATACAGGAGGAGCCCGCAGGTCCGGGACAGGGCAGGAGGGTGGGTGGAGTAGATCGGAATACAGGGGGAGCCCGCAGGTCCGGGACAGGGCAGGAGGGTGGGTGGAGTGGATCGGAATACAGGAGGAGCCCGCAGGTCCGGGACAGGGCAGGAGGGCGGGTGGAGTGGATCGGAATACAGGAGGAGCCCGCAGGTCCGGGACAGGGCAGGAGGGTGGGTGGAGTAGATCGGAATACAGGAGGAGCCCGCTGTAGTCATTCTGTCCCTTAAGGAGGTGGGGCTAGGGCAGATTGCATAAGGACTTATGCAGGACATCCCTGTATGAGGCTGCTTCCCTGAAGGGTTCCCGGTAGAGGTGTACCTAGCTGAGAGGTGACTACAGAGAGCACATCCTGT